TGGAAATAAATATGACACCCCATCTAACTAAATTTAATAGAAAAGAAATCAAAACGAGTGTCCTCTGAAGGTCTCAATCAGAACGGATACAAAGAAACTTCAATGCAATAAAAGGGCGAGAAAAGCACAACTCAGTCAACAAAAAACCAAAAATAAATCCAAAGAGCCAAACCCAAAACACCAACCATTTCTCCTACTTTTAGACTTCCCCCTCTTCTTTCTTTCTTTCTTTCTGTTGCTTCTCTTTTGGGTTTACTCGAATTTTTTTTTTTGCTTTAATGAATATATTTTATTCTTCTGTTATCTCTGTGCCAATAATTTGGTGGTGATGAAAAGTATTGGTAGCATGGGTTGGTAAGAGAGAATAAATGCTTGCAGTTCACGGACAAAGCCAAGGCCCTACCCTTACATGGTGGTGAGTGAGCCAAGACTACAGTGGGGGTTTTTAAGTTCTCTTCTTGTTCTTTGTATCAGAGTTTAACGCTTAAAACAAAAGAAAAATGGGAGGGGAGAGAAGAGAGAGATAGTTGTAATGAAAAGAGCAGAGCCTCGAGGTAGAAAGAAATGCACATGCACGTGGTTCAGCTTCTGTTGGTGGCAACCGTATAGATATAAATATTTGCATATCGTTATTAAATTAGCTCACCTGTTTTCCTTTCTAGCAAAGACACCTTCTCCATATTTGTTCTCACTTGTCTCCATTTTCATTGCATTTTTCTCCCATGCTTTGCTGCTTGCCCTTTTTCAACTCTCTTTCTTTTGTCTAGACCTGGAAGAGTATTTTAGCTCAAACCCAGAAAGAAGAAAAAGGTAAGATCTTTGGCTCTGACTTCCGAGTCTTTGGTTCATTGAGGAGAGAGTGTGTTAAAAGGGGGTAGCTTTGTTGTTTTTTATGAGCAAATGTATGTAAAATTTGAGAGCTTGTTGAGTGTTTGTGAGAGAAAGGAAGTGACAGATGTTGCTGTTCGGCCATGATCGTGATGTTTTGTCTTTGGTACTCAAGATTTTTACAAGTGCAAACAACGAGCTTTGCAATTGGAAGAAGAGGAGCAGATCTTCTTTGAATCTGATTCAATAATGCCAAACGGGTAGACTCAATTTTCTGTGTTTCGAGCATGAGAAGGATCCATCAATTTATTGTTTCCCATGCTTTGCTCTTCCTGATTCTTGCTTCTTTTGGAATCAGAATCCTCACCATTTCTCTAGCAGCAACTGAAAAGGAAATCTTGCTGCAATTTAAAGGGAACATCACTGTTGATCCTTACAAAAGCTTGACTTCCTGGGTCTCAAGTGGTAACCCTTGTGTAGATTTCAGTGGTGTGTTCTGTAATCCAGAGGGATTTGTGGACAAGATTGTTTTGTGGAACACTAGCCTCAGTGGACAACTGCCAGCTGCCTTGTCAGGTTTAAGCTCTCTCAGAGTCTTGACATTGTTTGGCAACAGGTTTTCAGGTAATATCCCGCAAGAATATTCGCTGTTACAAACATTATGGAAGATCAATGTGAGTTCAAATGCATTATCTGGTTCCATACCAGATTTCATTGGTGATTTACCTAACATTAGATTTCTTGATTTTTCTAACAATGGTTATACTGGAGAGATTCCATTTGCTTTGTTTAAGAATTGTTACAAAACAAAGTATGTTTCTTTTTCCCATAACAGTCTTTCGGGTTCCATTCCGGAGTCCATTGTGAATTGTAGTAAGCTTGAAGGGTTTGATTTCTCGTTCAATAATCTTACTGGTGAATTACCTTCTCGAATTTGCGAAATCTCAGTATTGAAGTATGTATCTGTTGGTAGCAATGCATTAAGTGGTACTGTGCTCGAAGAGATGTCAAAATGCCAAAGCTTGCTGTATTTGGATCTTAGCAGAAATTTGTTCACAGGGTTGGCTCCACTAGGGGTTCTTGAATTTAAGAATACTTCTTATTTCAATGTCTCACATAACGGGTTTTTTGGTGAGATTCCTGAGATTGGAACCTGTAGTCAGTCAATGGAATTTATTGATGCTTCATGGAATAGTCTGGAGGGGGAGATCCCAACAAGCATTTCAAACTGTAAAAGCCTGAAAGTTTTAGACTTGGGGTTCAACAGGCTTAATGGGACCATACCAGTTAATATTGGGGATTTGGGAAGGATTTTGGCAATTAGTTTGGCTAATAATTCACTAAGTGGGACAATCCCCACTGGATTTGGGAGCATTGAGTTGCTACAGGTCTTGGATTTGCACAATCTCAACCTTTCCGGTGGAATTCCTGATGAGATAAGCAATTGCAGGTTTCTTCGTGAACTGTGAGTCTAAACACTATCTTGATTTATTATAGATTTGCATCACCATTGCTTTGAATTAATTCTAAGAAACTTCAATTGTGTTGCTGCAGGGACGTTTCTGGAAATACTCTAGAGGGACAAATTCCTTATACCCTTTACAACATGTCAAACCTGGAAATCCTTGACTTGCATCACAACCAGCTTAATGGAAGTATCCCCCCTAGTCTGGGGAACTTGTCGAAAATCCAATTTCTTGATCTCTCACAGAATTCACTTTCTGGGTCAATCCCCCCTTCACTTGGGAATTTGAATATGTTAACACATTTTAATCTTTCCTACAACAATCTCTCTGGTATCATTCCTAATGTTCAAACCATCCAGTCCTTTGGTGCATCAGCATTTTCTAACAATCCTGGGCTCTGTGGCTCGCCCTTGACATCCTGTTCAGGAAGTGGCACGCCTTCCACATCTGGTAAAACCAAGGTCCTTAGTGTTTCTGCAATTGTTGCAATTGTTGCTGCGGCTGTGATCCTTACAGGGGTTTGTGTGGTAACCATCATGAACATCAGGGCACGCAACAGTAAAAAGGAGGAAGTGACAATGGTTGTTGAGAGCACACCGCCTGGTTCATCAGATTCAAATCTTATAATTGGGAAGTTGGTCCTCTTTAGCAAAAGTTTGCCTTCTAAATATGAAGATTGGGAAGCTGGCACCAAAGCTTTGCTTGACAAGGAGTGTCTAATAGGTGGTGGGTCGATTGGAACAGTCTACAAAACTAGCTTTGAAGGTGGCATCTCCATTGCAGTGAAGAAGCTTGAGACTCTAGGTAGAATTAGAAACCAAGATGAATTTGAGCAAGAAATTGGACGCCTAGGTAACCTCCATCATCCCAATTTGGTTGCTTTTCAAGGTTACTACTGGTCCTCAACAATGCAGTTGGTTCTGTCTGAATTCATTCCAGGTGGAAATCTCTATGATAACCTTCATGGACTAAATTACCCAGGTACTAGTACAGGTGTTGGTAATACTGAACTAAATTGGTCTAGAAGGTTTCATATTGCCCTTGGTACTGCAAGAGCACTTTCCTATCTTCACCATGATTGTAGACCTCCAATTCTCCATCTCAACATCAAATCGACTAACATACTCTTAGATGAGAAGTACGAGGCCAAATTATCTGATTATGGATTGGGAAAACTGCTTCCGATTTTGGATAACTATGGTTTAACTAAATTCCATAACGCAGTTGGATATGTTGCACCAGAGTTGGCTCAAAGTTTGAGACTTAGTGAGAAATGTGATGTGTACAGCTTTGGAGTAATTCTTTTAGAACTGGTAACTGGGAGGAAACCAGTTGAGAGTCCAACACTAAATGAGGTGGTGATTTTGTGTGAATATGTTAGAGGATTGTTGGAGAGGGGCTCTGCTTCAGATTGCTTTGATAGAAGATTGCGTGGTTTTGCAGAAAATGAATTAATACAGGTTATGAAGCTGGGGTTGATCTGTACATCAGAGGTTCCTTCAAGAAGACCCAGCATGGCTGAGGTTGTTCAAGTTCTGGAGTCCATCAGAAATGGTATGGGATCATAGTGATAAAAGTTGCAATGGGTTTGCTGGACCATGTAGAGAGTCAAGATATATTGTTGGAGCAAAGTTCGAAGAAATGGTAGTCTAGCTGGAAGGGGATGTGATTAATTGTTCAAAGGAAGCAGAGTTGCTGATTAGGGTAAAAAAGAATAGACCAGAAAAACAAAAAGATCATTCTTTTGTATTCATTTTGCGATTACCGTCATTGATTTGTTCCTATATTTGTAATTTTGTGCAATAAAAAGTATTCATTTTCTTGTATCCATCTGCTCACTTATTTGGACCGGGCGAGTAAGTTCAAGAAATTCAAACAATTGCTGACCAAACCTCCAGCAAACCTTCCCATTTAGGTTAAACAGCAATGGCAGCAGGAGCATGCAGACAAGTTTCTTTTACCAATACTGTAAAGCCTCTTAAAGCATTGTTCATTCAACAATACTGCAAATTTTGCTTAAAGCCACTGAATTGATACAACATGTCGATATAAAGTTCTCAGAACTCTTTAAAAGTGCCGTTCTTTATTGAGTTTCCCAAGCCTTTGAAGTCTTGGCATGGTCTCCATACTCATTTGTTGGAAGACAATGTTGCTTGAGCCTTGATGTGGTAACTTTTTTCATTTGTTTTTGGTTCTTTTGATATTAGGGCGGATGGACCTTCAAAATTTTCCCTTTTTAGGGTGTCGTTAACTGCAATTTGCATTTCGAGATTTGCGTCTCTGTCAACTTTACTGTTCTTCAGATTTTAGTCCTTAATTTGTGACAATGGCATGTATTTTTGACCGACTCGTTCAAAATTTACTTGAAAAACTTTAAATCCCTGCCCTCTCTCTCTGTCTCTGTCTCTTATCAATGATACAGACACACACTGATGCACCAAATTCAACAGACACCTTTTCTTTTCAGTTTCACAAGATCCAGTATCTTTATGTTAATCAAGCTTCAGATCCAATTGCTCAACATGAGACAGTCAGATTTCCACGCTTTTTGTGCGTACAGGTCCCTAAAACAGTTTAACCCTATGCAATAGCTTGTGATTTGCACCGATCCTTGTACATGAAAATCAAGGTCTTAATGGCATTGATTGGTCCTTGAACCAAGTCAGGGACTACTACTGTCTGCTTTAGTGTCAACTGAAAAGAGCTTTCAATTAAAAAATCTCGGGTTGTCTAAAACCATGGAGAAAACAAACAACATTTCAACTATTCAATTTACAGGTTTCAGAAACTTTCTGAATCCGTTCCATAACCACAGGGATATCTTTCTCTGTCAATGCGGCAAAACAGAAGCGGAACCATCCAGGTTCAATACAATGACAACAAGACCCTGGAGTTACATTGACCTTGGCTATATTCAACAACTTATCCCAAAGCTCAAGTTCCCCTTTCTCACTATAAGAGCTGATTAACCCGCTCATATCAGCCCAACAATAGAAACCCCCACTACTCTTTATGCACTCTATGCCCAATTTTTTCAACCCTGACACGAACTGAACATACATTCTTCGAAGCCTCTCCCTATTACTGGTAATAAATGTTTGAACGAATTTTATATCGGATAGCATAGAGATGAGCAGACGCTGGGTTGGAGCTGAAATGGATGAGAACCTCGTCAACTTTTTTGCGGCAGCCAGAACCTCCTCATTGAAAGAGTAAATAACACCAACCCTAAAGCCTGGAAGAGAAAGATCTTTTGACAAACCGTATACTATATGGACTCTTTTCCGGTCAACATCTTCCAGGTCAACAATTTCTGTCATGCTCACAAATTCTTCATTTCCATGAGTACATCCAGCCAATATTTCATTAGAGACAATATGGATGTTCTTCTCTCTCGCAAAGTCTAAAAGGTTATAAAGTGTTTCCCGACTTAGAAGATTGCCAACAGGATTTGATGGGTTTGATATTATGATCCCATGCACTTTCAGCCCACGTTTCTTTGCCTGGTTGAACGCTATATCCAGAGCAGTTATACTCAAATTGAAGTTGTCAGCACTTCGGCAAGGAACATGTATCATCTCCACCCCAGTTCTCCATTTTACATCCCAGTCAAAACTGCATATTTTGTTCAAAACCTCAGTTCCCTCACAGGATAGCTGGTTACCAGAACAAAAAACTGTCAAAATGATGGAAAAAAGTTTACCCAGGGTAATATGGCGTTGGAACAAGAAATGCATTTCCAGCATCTGCTAAGCAGAAGCTAAGAATCTCAATTGCAGGGGTTGCACCAGCAGTCAGCACTATCTGTGAAGGATTAAAGGAAACAGCTTTCTCCATGACTTGAGCCATGAATCCTGCCACAGCCTGCAAAGTAACCACATGTCGAGTCACTAATGTTTCAAGTAGAGACAGTTAAGTCACAAAAGCAGAACATTTCCCAAAGGAAAGAATCATTAGATGAGAAGAAGCTTCCAGGGTGGTGGTGGGCTGCGATCGACTCTTAAGACTAATGACCCAAGATACCTACATCAGACATCTTAATTCTTGAAGTTATGCATGAGTTTAAGTTAAAAATTTTATAAATAATTTATGAACTTAAAGGTATTTTTCCATATATCATCTAAAAATTAAAATACACGCACACAACTAGTGCACAAGTTAAGAAGACTTGTCAAATTAATTGTTAATATCTGTTTCCCTTCTCTTTTTTCTTCCTTTTCTTTCCTCCAACAAAAAGGTCACTTAGAATCACTGGTATAAATGCGTTTAAGTAAAGTTAGTGGCAAGAAGAATCTTAACTTTCATTTCAAAACCTTCCTGCAGAACAAGTTATCAAAGTATGTAATATAAGAAAAACACTAAGAGGTGAATTAAACTGGAAATTACAAGAGGATTCCAGTGCATGTACATGCCCCAATGAATGGTTCTTGTAGCTACCAATGATATATATCCACTGAATAAGAGCTCATGAAGTTTGATTTATTGTTTTGTTTTATTTTATTCCCCTTTAATTGAACATGTAACTCTTAACCAGAAGGAAATAATTTCGATTTATTATTTTCTCTTAATGAATCTTTTTGATCACTTATATCCCCTTCTTTAAGAATCTAGCTTGGCTTGCTCTGTGTGTCTACCACCTGGCACCTGCAATCTTCTCAGCACCTCCAATATAACATCCATGTATTTGGTCTTTGTGACCTGACTCTCACTTGATTCTTCAGAATACAAACATTATACTCTATTAGAGATCTTTTCTAGGCACTCATACACAGCAAAGATTTGTATCCTCCTTAAGGAGGCCCAAACATTTAAAATAAAAGATCACACTAAATTTTTGGTGGCCACCATTATTATAAGAGATCATGAACCACTACCATAAGCCATAGCCATACAGAACCAGTCCCTAGAGCACAGAGTAACCTTATTATTGCTCAATCAATCTGAATCTCAAACAGTTAGATTCTAATATGACATCATAAAGTCACCTAAAGTGAAAACTTTTACTTTTCCTCACTTGCATATCAAATATACCATTTTGAACACAACTTCAAATGATAAAACAGACATAACAAGAGAATTGGCTCAATAAACTCATAATGATAGTATTAATATAAATACAAAACAATTACCACTTTGAACTCCATCAATCCATCAAAAGGCTGGTAAGTTGCAATCCCGCTAATGCTCAGCTCCTTTCCATTTCCCAAGATCGCTTCCCTCGCATTCTCTGCTAGCCAATTCTTAACCAAATCTAACGACAACTAAAAGAATAAAGAAAAAAAAGCAATAAAAAACCAAACAATAAAGCATATTAACAATTAAAAAAAAAACAAACTAAAACTACAAAGACTCACCTTGTTTTCCGCTAAACCCAGCTGGATGACCCCATTCGGATTACCCAATTCATCATACGGGTCCTCCTTGGCCCGCCTCAAGCCCGCATAATAAGGAGAATCGGCACCCTTCACAATCCCACAAACTCGACCTGACAGTGAAACGGGTCCACTCGGACTTCTTGCGATAGCAAAGCCCGAGACAGATTACGTATCAACCCAGGAAGCTCCGTCAACTGCCCCGACGACGGCGACCGTGTTGTCTGGTTTTGACCCGGGGAATTCGATTCGTTCTGGTCATCCTGGTCATTACGGCGTCGCTTCAAATAGAATGGAGAAAGTAAAAGAGAGCGCAAGGAATTATGAGCCTAAAATTAAGCCTCCTTTCCTTGACAAACACCTTGTAGAGAACTATCACTCTCATGGCCGCTCCCCCTCCCCCTCTGGCTTGTCCTTTTCGGTTCGGGGCTCCGAGTCCGGGAAAATCGGGTTTGCGTCATTGCAGTGAACTCATGGCCACTAAAACTCAAAATGAAGATGAAAAATGGAATGAAAATAGGGTTTTTCTGGTTTTCTGATTAATGTTCAACGGATGAATAAAAATAATAGCTTTGTGTCTCTTTCCTTCTTTTTTTTTCTTGTTTCTGAGTTTTGAGGTTTTTTTTTTTTTTTTTTGGGGGGGAATTATGGGAATACAGACTCTTTCTGAGCCGTCCCTTGCTTGAAGTGGGGTGATTTTTAGGTTTTTGGATTTAGCAGTTGAGAATGGAGATTTTTAGGAGGGAAAAGCTGTGAGCTTACTGAAATGACCTTGCTCTTTGTTTGTCCATTATGATTTTGTCAGTTGCACCTTTTGTTTTTCGTTCAGTAATTTTCAGGTGATGGGTGACAACTTTTGGTGTCGTTTTAGGTGGGAATTTTGTGCAAATTATTTGAATTTCAGTGTGCTGCCAAAATAAGAAAACAGTTTACTACTAGGATTTTCTTCATCCCCTCACTTTCTTTTCCAGATCAAATTATTTGCTTGTTTTTTATTTGTTAATGGTAGCTTTTTTTTTTTGACTAAACTGAGCATAAGACAAGTTCAAGGCATTCATTTGCCTTTTTGACTCTTTGATGGGAGTTTTATGTAAAAAGAGAGATCCAATGCAAATTTGCTACAGCTAGTACAAGCTCAAGGTCATATTATGCCTTGCGCATGTTTTGGAGTATTCTAAAAACCCTTTTTAAACTTGTTTTGGATCTACCATTGCTTGGAAATAGATTAAAGTTATTGCATTTAATCTGATCTCCGCTATGATAGTCATATGATGAGGCAGACAAAAAGATCTTGATGTAATCAAAGCTATGTACTAACCTTACTCCAATGGTGAAGCCAAAAGATGGTATGATTGATCTTTTATTTTTTCCGATGATACGCAAAAGTATCATTTGATTATGATAAGTGGGTGAGAAAAATTTTACCATAATTTTATGGTATACTTCATATAAATGTATAAATATATTAGTAATTTCGGTTTCTCTTGAAAGGAAAAAAAATGATCTAATTTCGGTTTTATAGTAGCTTCAATCATGTTAAACTTATGATAATTTATGCCAAATAAAATCATTGTTCCAATCTGACCTTAAGTAGAAACCCCTTGGAATCTCTATAAAAACAAGGGACCAAGAGATAGAATCTACCCACAATTTGCCCTCAGAGTCCTCCTTGCGCTCGAAGACAAAACCCCAATTTGTCCCTTCCTTTGTCCACCACAGAACCACTTAACCAAGGCAAGTCACTAGATATCCCGAAGAAATCATATGCAACACAGAAACCTTGTTGCATTTTTGTGGACTTTCACTTCCTTAACTTTTCTCTCGTAGCAACCTTTGTGACCACTCGTCCAAGATCAAAAGTTTTCCTATAAAACTTCTGAAGTCACTTTTCCAAGCCTTTTTTCAGGACCATTGTCTACTTCGAAACAGGTATGTTTATTTAAGCCACACACTTGATTCACCTAATCTCAAATTCTTGATTTTGGGGTCAATGTATTGTGTGTGTTTTTGCTTTTCTGAATACTAAATAATACATTTTGAAGCTATAAATAGATCAAGGAAAGAGACCGATTTGTAATTCTTACTTGTTTCTATCCTTAAACTTTGACATGATGAGTAATTAATGACCAAGTTAAACTTGTAGTTGTCTGTGTGATGTGCATACTCACATTGATTAGGGGTTTTTTTCTTAAAGAATCAAAGGAAAAAAAAATGAAAACAGTGTTTTAAGATAACTTATAGATTCATTCAACTAGTTGGGATTAGGGTTACCTGAAAGAAAAGAATTGTTTTAAAAGAGAATTACTGGTATAGTTTGAGTCTTGCGTCGTTCAAGAATCAAGCTATATTTATTTTTGATAGTCTAAATCTAGGCTACAAGATTCAGGAAACCTTAAGTATTCTGAGTTCAAGCAGGTTTTTGAGGCTCGCACGTAATAAAGTTAGTTGAACAATAAAGCTAAATGGTCAAGTTTGTTAACTGGGGAAACAAACCCATAGAAAAATATACTTCCGGGAAACCAAAGAAATATCAGGAAAGGTATTTTATCATGAAAGTACTCCCGATCATGATACATACACGAAATCTTGCGGGTGTTTTCTGCTTTTGTTACCCATTTATGAAACAAACTGTATCCAATATTGGCCACTCAATTACCCCAGCAGGTTGTGAAGGGAAGTAAACTAGTTGGATTAGCATTGATTAGGAATTTCTTATTCGAATTTAGGCGCCTAGCAAATATTTAATGTGCCAGGGAGTATTCCTAATCAGCCTAACTGGAAGGTGTGAGAGGTTATTGTTCAAACCTAACTATTTTTTATTGTGGGGAAGGAAAATGTTGGCTCTGGACTGATTAAAATGGGGTAAGCTCTCTTTTAGTGAATACTGAATCTGCTATTCCTAGGGTAGTTTATTGTTATCATTTACTGAAAGTCAGAGTCACAATTTTATAAAACAATGACAGCAAAAACCTTAAAAAAATTGAATAAACCTTGTTTTGAGGATTGGGCAGAAAGCCGAAGATGAGCAAAATTGGGATGGGGATGCATGAGGCTCGGATGGAGAGTTGATTGCGTGCTTATAACATAGAGCAAGAGCCATCACGTTAGAATGGGTCAGAATCTTTGACAACTTGGGGGTGCTGTGTGTTCCTAGAGTGAATGGACCGGGAATTGGCTTTACATGTGCATTAGTCCAGCACCCGATTTATAGTAGCTGTCTGCTCTGGTTTTTGTCACCGTCTGAGCCCGCAAGCCTCCCTCTGCATCTCCCTTTACCGAAGAAGGAGAATGTATCAATAAATTCAAATGTATTTGAGGTGGACATCCATGTATGTTTGAATGCACACATATTACATAACATACAATGATATTTACATCAAAATAAATGTGGATTGGCTGAAAAAACAAAACGTAAGTGTCAGAATCTATTATCAGACTATAATTTTAAATTATATATTCTCAAGTTAAAGTTGCTTTCCTCTTTTCCGAAATTGTTAAGCCCATGAGCTTGGCAGGTGTGCAAAAAAGAAGCAAAGCCCAACATCTCATTGCTAAAATGGCAATGGATGCGAGAGCGGTTGTGACTTGGGCCATTTTGGCTCAAGGTTGCTGTTAAAAGGCAGACCAAAATACACAGCATTGTGCTCTGTTATTGGCTTAATGCTTAACTTTGATCAAATGATTATCCTCTCAATTCAAACACAAACGTACAAGTGGTTCCTTAAGTTGGACTAAGGTCAAATGATAATGAAGGAACAACAACATTACCGGGTTCAACATAAGGTTGGGGAAATATACAAAGGAATCCCATGTAAACCCTGTGACTGCATTGAATGTACCAGCTGAAGTCAAGGAACAACATTTAATAAGTTATGGGACGTATGCTTCTGAAAAAAAAATAAAGCGAAAGCTCTGAAATAATTCAACTAACCAGAAATTATAACGTTCAAAAGCCAAATACTATAAACAAGCAAATGTCATTATCTACGACCTAAAGATCTAAAATTTCCTTCAAAAAAGGGTCCACGTGATAAAATCAAAGTCGTTGTCGTCAAACACTCAATTTTATTTTGTTTTCTTAGCCTTCCTCATCCTTTTTACTCCTTCAAGTGATATATATATATATATATATGGAGAGGAAGGCATAGATTTCATAATCCTTCACACAAGGAGACAAAAAGAAATACGCAATTGATTGCACTGAATAAAGAGTAAAAACCATATGCTATTTTTTGGATAGGCATTGACAGTTCCACATGCCCCCCTACTCCTCTCCTTTCCCTTTCATTATTTTGAAATATTTGATACGACGGAGTATCCGATGCTCCAATAGTATTATCATCTCTAATTATTTGGTCCAATGCCTCATGCCGTCCCTTTAGAGCTCTCTCCGTAAGCATTGTCGCTTATGTAAGTAATGATTTCATATTTTGTTATGCTATAAATAACTTTGCGGTTAAGTATTGTCACTGTTTTGAATTTAGTTTGGACAATGTAATTAATGATAATTAGCCAATGTTATTAAAGCTTAGAAAATTTGGAGAATTGTCGTTCATCTTAATTTGAACTCATATTTTCCCTTGAGCTCAACCACCGTTCAAACACAAAATTGAATCAATTTTGTGTACAAGTGTAAACAGATTATTTGATGCGATGTCTTAGCTGTATTTACTATTCAACTCAAGATTTTAACAATCAAATCAAAAGGATTTTCCATTGGAATCGAGGCCATCAAACCTTTTCAGCTTACCGGAAAACAAAAGAAATGCTGACTAATCTGGTTCGTACATATATCTCTAAATGCCCTTTTTACCCTTCTTCCTCTTTTCTCCAGATTTGAATTCGTATCGGGAGGGGCCACTCTTTCCACACTTTCCCCAACTGACAAACGAATAAAAACCGTTTGGGGCAATCTCGCAATTACAATCAAATCCCGTGGCAAATACAACCGCCGCCGAAATTGCAGAGGTTCCGTCGACATGATCTCGCCACCCGAAACCCTGTGCTCGAAGCCCGATATCACTGCTCCTCGCTACAAGGACAGATCAAATTCTTAAAAAATTTCAAACCCAATTGACTCTTTTACCCTCTAGGCATATCGCCCAGCAGAGGACTTCCGCCCTTAATATTTCCATAAAAGAGGAGGGATTGTATCGTCAATAAATTTTGGAGACTGGCCTTAATAATTTTTTTGTTTTACTAATAATTTTCAGGAGCCCATAAATTCAAATTTCGGATCGTTACAAAACCTCAGCGCTATAAAACAAAAACAAATAAACCCCAGGTCCAGAGTCCAGCTTCGGTGGCTTGTACCTTACGCTATGGATGTTGTCCTTTGTTCTTCGTTTATATTTTTTCCGCTTTCTTGAAATAAAATTTATTTTGCTTTGAATGCTACAGTGAAGCTGATCATCGCCGTTGTCAACTCAACCTCGCGGTTCCAGGATTTCTAGGGTCTAAAGCGAAAATCAGTTTCAGATTGCCGGTGCAAATGACGGCGGCGTTTAGTTCTGTTCGGTTCAGGTGAAGTTAGAGCGGCATTTTAGAGAGAGAGAAAGAGAGGGAGTGAGTTTTAGAACGAGAGATAGATGGAAGAGGAGATGGAGATGGAGATGGAGATAGAGATAGAGCCAGTGTTCGAGGTTAGAGAGGTCGATCTTGAATACGAGTTCGATGCGGCTCGGTTCTTTGATTTCACGCGCGAGGAGTCGCCTGCGGAGGCCAGAGAAGCTGAACTCTGGTTTGAGTCGGCGCCGAGTTATCCTCCCTCTCGTCAGTTTCTCTGTATCCTAATAATGTTTGCTTCAAGCAAGAATTGTTTTACCATTAATATTTTTTTTGGTTTATTATCTTTTCTTCTTGTTTGATGGAAGAAAAATAAGCCGCAAAGGTGGTTTTACTTTCTTTCTTAAGAGTTATATATCAATGACTGCCTATTCTTTTTTTTCCTTTGTTTCAAAATTTTGGAGACCTTATTGTAAAAAAAAAAAAAAGAAAGTTCCTTTTATTTTCTGTCTTTTAAAAATCCTTTTGTCCCTCTAATCTTTCTGGGGAAATATATTTCTATCTATTAACCCTTTTTTTCTTTTGGTTGTAGCTTTTGTGGCGAAGTTAGTTTTAAGGGACGAGAGTCTCCTGGAAAATGTGAGTACGTCTCCAAAATGTAAAGAAGTGGAAGACACTAGTACATTACTTGAAAATGATTCCGGTAATGTTATGGCGTTGGAATTTTCAGCTATGGGTCCCAATAACAGAGGTACAGTTAGCCTTGTTGAGCACCTTATTTGTGGTGCTTTTATTTCATTAAACTTTCTCTCTATGTAATTTTTAAGGCTAAATGCAGTAATTTAGCTAATGTTAAAGAGCCGTGGAGCTTGCTTCTGAAATTGAGACAGAATCTTTGAGACAAACCTGTGCTTCTGCAGGCAATTATACGAAGATTGGGCTTTAGTGTGGTCTGTTTTAGAGTTGTTGGTTAAACCTTTGATTAAAAGGATGGATGGATCACCCAAAAGAGTGAATAAGAAAAAGAAGATAAATTCTTTGGGAAGTCTAAAAATTGTGCTGGACTGATATTATTGTTTTTAGGCATTGAAGGAACTAACAAAGGGATTTTCACCGATATTCAGAAAGTTTTACAGAAGGCTTTGAATCAACCATTTCAATTAACTGCAGGTGAAGCTTTTTTATTACTTTTTTCTCCCTTTAGTAACGTATAGCTTTCTTATTGTTATAATTTTCCTTCTTTCAAGTATGTTCTAGATAACCACAAACATTGGTTGAAGCATGCGTACTTTCCAGATAGTAACCACCTAGTTGCTTGAACTTAATAATCTCTATATAGTAATTTGTCATCTGTTATAGCTTTAACATGTCTCTAATCATTAATTTCAATGTTTCTTCCTATGTGTTTGCTCAGAATTTTTTTCTTTCACTCCCTCAGGCTTTACAACATACAATTACACGTCCAGTGATAAATTAAAAGATAAATCTAAGAGCGTGAAATCCGTGATTCCGCGGAGCTCAACTCTTATGAAACCTACTGCCAGTCAGTTGGCGAAACAAAATCGGCCCCCTCAAGTGGCTGCATCTAGGTAATTCTTAGAAACACTCTATCAGTTTCTTTTTATTGTAATTTCACAATCTAGTGTTCTCATAGATACAAAGAAAATCTTAGTCTTTGAAATGGCTGCTTTCAGTTTCACATGTCTTTAAGTTTCTTGCTCAAAGTAATGTAAAAGCATCCTAGTTTAGATAAGAGATGCTAAACTAAAATGTCTCAATACTTGATGTTTTCATCAAAGCCACACATATCAATCAAGGTCCACTATACCAGGCTGATACATACTCTATTACTAATTGTAATGGCTCCGGTTCAAGCACCATTAGTCCAACAACTTTTTGAGCTTAAATCATGTGGCCTCTACAGCTTAAGTTCAAGTTGTTAGTAGTGAATAACTTAAATCCTTATATAGGTTTTAACATTTGCATTCACACTCAATGTGGGAAGGCATATCAGAATTAATACAGTTTTTCTATTGAGTTTTCTAATACTTCATTTCTTTAAATGTAGATTCGAGAAGCAACAGCTGCTTAACAGTGACAGAAGCCTAGGTAATTCTTCTGTGGTTGAAAGTCAAGCTGCCAAGAGGCAGAAGCTAGAGGGAGGTCTCTCGCGAAAGGTACATGAGTTTGTAAAATTTCCCGTACTCCCACTATGCTGGGCTCATATGTATTGAACATGTTCGTTTTTTCAAGTACAATCTGAAAGTGGATGTTAGGTTTTTCAAGTACAATCTGAAAGTGGTTTTTATGTTGATGAAAGAACCTTTTCTTTTAAATGTTCACAAGCTGGCAACTAATAACTACATGGGTAAACACAAAGTGCTCCAATGGGTTGTCTTTTCTTATATTTTTTTTGAAAAGAAGTGTCTTTTCTTATATGAACCTGTTAAAGCTTAGAGTAGGGACATACTAGAGGTTGAATATACCAGCTCACCTTTTTGGCATCTGTCTTCACTCTTCCATCTCCACTTTAGACTTAAGATTTAAGTCTATTACTACAATGGTTGAGTTGCATTATTTATCAAATAAGCTTCTGGTTTGGGCTCAACATTTGTTCTGCATGGCAGGTTGCTGATGTGAAGCAGCAAACTAATTTGATTCATAAGGCACCTAAAAAGGTACACCCTTGAAGTATGTTTAGATTTTTGAAGTGCGTTTGGATCTTAACCTGTCTTGAGTCGTTAACTTGCTGCCTTTTCTTTGTGGTGATGCAGGAGGGAACTGTAGATAGAAACTCCATCCATACCAGGCTGAAGCTTACCATTCCAAAGGAACCTGAGCTTGAAACAGCGCACAGGGCTCAAAGAATACGGTTAGTTTCTGGTCACTAATTCTTTACACGTAGAGGTGTAGAGTAAAAGTATTGTTAACAAGCTGTTGGTGGAATGATGTCTTCATTTCAGGCCTAAGAACAGTACAGAACAAGAGCATGTTACATCTGTCACACATAGATTCAAAGCACGCCCATTGAATAGAAAAGTTGGTACTTATGATGTGACAAAAGAGACTTTCTCTAAAGTTGATTTTGTTGTGCTTCCCACCTCTCAAGTATATGTTTATCATTTGTAGATTCTCGAGGCCCCTTCATTGCCCCTTCCAAAGAAGAGCATTCCAAAGTTGCCACAGTTTCAAGTAAGTCATGGACTGTAGTTTCTTGCTTGTTCATGGACTAAAAGCATTTTGTGGAAGCATCATAACAAGCAATGATTTTAGCAAAATTGAGGACTCTTGCATTCCATATGTAAGGTCTGATTGCTGTTTCATTGCTCCTCAGGAATTTCGCCTGAAGACATCGGAAAGGGCTGTGCAACTCTCATCAGCTGTACCATCCTCATGCCAGAGCAATGATGCTGACAAGGTTAGCTGTTGGTTTTATTGAATAATTAGCATTAGAATATTTTTTTGTATCATCTTTGAGCTTTGTCATCAGTCCACTTTGTTACTTATTGTAAAATTGATGTTGATGCAGGGGTCTGAGAAATCTGGTATAATTTCTGCTACCGGCAATGGAACTGGAGAACCCAGAAGGTAAATATTTTGTATGTTAAATATCTAGAAAATGTAGTTTTGAGCAGAATATATACTATATATGCATCTATGCAAGCATGCATTTATTCTTGTGCTACTTCTTTTGTGTGGAACCCTTTTTCTTTGTTAATATGAAATTTGAATTAAATCTGAGAAAAGGAATGACTTTGGAATTGTCCCTACTTCGCTTAGAGCAAGTGCCATGGTTGCCACTGGGCAGGATGTGTGTGACATAAAGTACAACTTCAAAGCTCGTCCTTTGAATAAGAAGGTAAGCAAATAACAAATAACATGCACATATCATTTGCCGAAAATCTTGTGGTAGATATCAACCATTCCTAATGAGTATCTGTATGCAGATTTTTTCCCATAAGGGGGATATTGGTGTTTTCCGAAATATCAAGAGGGAAACCACAGTGCCAATGGTAAGAGTATGGAAGATCTGAGTCTCTTTATTTTAAATTGATTGTTGGCCTGAATTCTTTGAGATGAGATGATATTGTGCTTTGTCTACCAAACAGGAGTTTAATTTCCATGCGGAGAAGAGGGTTCAGCAAACTCCACCTGTAGAACTTTTTAGTAAGGTAAACCTTAATAAGTATGTTCCAATTCTGCTGTAATCCATATTCCACCTTTCCTATTTCCAATTAACATTATATGGCGTCTAATAATGCAATTGCAGTGTTTGATCTTTTTTAGGTCTTACTGTTTGCATGGCATATTTTTGTTAATACTCTATTTTTATGCCAGCTGTCTCTGACATCTGAACTACAACCAAGCAATGGATCTCAGATCAAGTTGCCTCGTCCTACCTTTACATCGACCCAGGTTCTCCTAGTTTTTTAACTTTATTATATCAGATACTTTTGAATTTTGAATTTTTTTAGTATGTTCTTGATGTAATTGTTCTTTGGTATAAGGGCTCAAAAGAAAATAGATGGACTTCTTTCCAACCAGAACATGAGGTAAGCTTCAGAATTAAGTTTGATTAGCATCTTCTGGCTCCTTGTTCCTTCTCTCCCCCTTTCTCTTTTGCTGGGTCATGTTACCAATTCTTTGAAATTCTAATGTAGGCTTTAATTCTTCCTATGAAGTAATGCTTTCCATTATGTTGTAGATGAGGCATTTGACAAAGGAGAAACCTCATCTGTTTGGCGGAAAGAACATTCAGTGTGGGAACGATGGTTGCATCACTGAGGTTGGTAATCAATTAAGCACGAGGTATGTCAGCAAAGAGGATTGTTAATGCGATATCGTTTTCACTTTTCTTTCTTAATTGTAATTTTTCGAGAAGAATAACCTTACATGGAACTATCAGGAGCTTGGGCATTCGCTGAAAGTGAAAGCAGCAGTCCCAGATGGTTTACCTCGTGGCAATCCAACTCAAGATTCTGCTGTTGTTCTGGAATTTTGACGGATCAACACTCAACAATTGCACAAATTTCATCAACAAACGTAGGTTTTTGCTGTATATGGAATCTGTGGATATCCACTTTACTAAGAATCAATGTTTACCTCCAAAGAAACTGACATGTTAAATGAACTTCGTGCTCCCATACTTTTGGGTAACAAGTCCATAATACAATAAAAATGTTACACATGTTGTATAGCCGATCAAGCCCTCGTACCCTTTCCTTAAGACTTCGTTTTTGTCGCATTAGCGCTGATGTAATGGCCATTAGTTCTTCAGAATCCGGTGCTCAAGTCAAATTCATTATAGTGGGATGGCTGGATCGCTAGGATATCAGAGCTATAACTATTTATGAAATGACATAATATCTGTGGAACTCATCTAAAATATATAACCCATGGATTCATTGCTCGTTTACATTTCATATATTGAATGTGTCCTTCAAACCAACGTCCAGGAAAAGATAGATTTTCAGCTACAATCATAAAATCCTAGCATCTTGACTGCTGTGCCGGTCTCATGCTTTTAACTCCATATTGAGTCAGCTTCTACTTTCTGCTTGTGTCCGGATTGCAGCTCGTATTCAAATTCATTCTCCCCGTTGTATTCTTTGTCCACAGAGTTGTTCTTTGTTAAAGCCTGTTTTGTCCAGCGCTTTATATCATAAGCCTTCTTGAAGGGCTTCTTCTCCTTTACATGTCTTCTCTTTGTTATAGCAATGGCGAGATCATTTGGAAACAATGTCTGCCAAACAAAGGCGTGAAGAAGGGTGGACACCAATAATACAGACACCATTGCCGATGACGTGAAAGAAAGAGAGAGAGCAAGCCCCTTGCTTAAAAAAGAAGGAACCTGTTCTGCATACTTGATTGTCGCCACTGATGCAGTTGTCATTGGGAAGGTGTACGACCACCATGCCACAGAGAACCTGCAAAGTCATTGAATTACAGATTAAGAGTAAATTAAAATATATCCTCTGATCGAGGAGAAACTGTGACACTGTGATAGTGATCAAGAATTCGCTTACCTGAATCCTGTAAAGAAGTTGATCCGCACGACTAGTGAAACATAGAGGAACAATGCAATGAAAAAGCATGTCCTTGAGCAACCATCAAACTCACCATAAATACTTCCCCAAGCAATACTTGCAGCAGATGGAGCTGCAATAAACATGGAGTAGACGGGGTGCAGCTCTTTTGGCAATGCTTCACTTGTTGGCAGTCTCTGATACAGTGTTACAAACACCACAAGATAATGTGCAAAGCCAACAGACCACAAGAACTTTGCAGCTTCCATCCATCCCACCTTTGATGCTAAGATTGCTCCAACAAAATTTCCGACTACAGAAAGATGGGAAGATGGATTTGCTACCTTGCAAAGACGCCTCTTACCCCCAGAAAGCCATTGACCATAAATTTTGAGCTCGAGAAAGAAATAAGGTCCCATGAAAGCACACCAAATGGCAGGGTGCAGTTTTGCAGGTGCTAGCATCGGCGGTACGCCAATGGCAAGGAACATGCACACAACCCAGGGGGCAAAAAAGAAATTGACTCTGACAGGATGGAAGTATTCTCTTTTGACAGCTTCAAAGTAGTAAATACATTTGAGCAAGTAGGTGATGGAAACTGAGACTAGCACCGCCAGGGCTAATATCCAAAGGAAAAGGTTGATGAATGGTGTAACGTGGAGAAACTTGGTAGCTGGGCTAGTGGACAGGGCACGCCATAGAACAGCTTGGCTGCTAAGTCCAAGACAAATACCAAAGCAACCAATTGGGAAACGAAGGAGAAAGGGCCATATCTCATCTTTTGGGAGGAGAATGTCCTCGTAGTCCTGCAGCATATAAGAGCACAAAAATGAAAGTGAACGAACCCTAGACCATGAATGGAAAAATTCTAATTGAGCAGATCAAATTCATTGCATACATACATATTAACTTTAGCATGTTACCTTCACTTGATCTAGTTCAGGTCCTCTGAGAGCAGCGAAGTATCTTCCAGCTGGAACACTATTGTTAACAGACTCATCAAGACCATTAGCACCTTCAGTTCTTTGGGACTCTGTCTCTCTCTCTTTTCTCGTAGGCAGCAGAGAATTTTGCTTACTGAGAGTCGACTTGGTCCTGAAGATGTCAAAGTCTCCTTTCCTTGCTTCTCCACCAACCCTAATAGCGGAATCAAAACCTCCGAAACTACGACCACTTCTCCGGAGAACCTTTCTCTCGTCTTTGGCCTTAGCCTCCCTATCCAACACGGAAAAGCCCGTCTCTAATGACACTTGCCTGCTAAAACTTCTTTGTGGCCTCTTCAATTCTCGAAGTTTAACAGGCTTGTGCAAACCCTTTTTCACCACTTTATCTTCCATTTTGATCACTCCTTCGTCTTCTTCTTCTTCCTCCGGTAAAACTTCATGGATATCAACAAAATGAGTTTGAAAGGATTTACTAGAAGTTGCCCCCTTGTCCATTTTGTTTCTTCTTCCAAGATTCCACCAAAGAAAACAAGCAACTCAAAGTTTGTAATTCTTGTAGAGGCATGCAAGTTATAGTTTTCATATTGTTTCCTTTTTCAAGGCATCACGAAAAAGTAGAAGAAAGGTGCAGCTTCTCTAGATAGTTGGATTGATGTTTAGTTGATGAAATGGGAACCAATGCTTTCTTATGGAAAAAGTTCGGTTGCATGGGGAGATTTCTCGTGAAATCATGAAAAAATTTTTGTGGCTCCGTTTTGGTAGTGGGAAAATTATTGAACCCAAATAACTTGGATGAAAAGAAAAGAGAGGACTGTTCCATACAGTGAGAAAGAGAGAGTTTGCCTACTCCTCACGGGGGCTCAAGAGGACGAGAGACAATTGGATTTGATATCTTTGAACGAGTAACAATGAACGATTGAATGTCAACTGCTATATGTTGCGGTAACATTGAACCATCGCCATTTGGTTGTCAAGAAAATTTAATATATACGAGAAACTTTTGATATTTTTTTTTATTATCGATGATCACATGGGTTGATAAAAAAAAATTTTAATAAAGAATTTAGAGATATTTTTATTTAAAAAAAACTTATAAAAATGTGTGATCATAGCTTATATTTGTTTGTTTGAAATGAAAGATAGATTCAAGGAACTTCTTTGTGTGTACATTGCACAATACAAATTGCTTAGCATTAAGCGTCATTCCTTTTGGATGAATCAAACGTACAATATTGAGAGAAACAGTTGTCCACAGTGGAAAAAGAGCTCGAGTAATTGGTTCAACACTCTTTAGAGCCCCAATTATTGCATGGGTCACGGTGTTGTCAATGGTCCGTAGCCTACTAGAATTGCCCAAAGCTTATATTATAGTTATGACTGTTACAAAAGCAAATTGAGAGTGGATGATTGGGTTTGATCAAACAGGGAAGAAGAAATGGGAAATGCGGCCCAACCCCTTTTACTGCAAAGAAGAAATCAATTTCAAATCTAAATCCTATTGATTATATTTTTTTCTGGGGGGTGGGTGGGGAAATGGTGGCAAAATCCTTGTATAATATTCACACACGTGGCAGGCCATTGGTGCATTGTGTCGAATGAAAAAGCATAAAATTACAACTACCATTTGAAACTGTCCTACAAAAAATCCTGTGTGAAGAGCTCCAAGAATATTAATATTCTAAACCTGTTTGATTCTTGAAGCTTTTGTACGCTCTTCCATATGTTTCCGTGTCATTTGACTGTGCCGACTTCAGCCGGATCACTTATGCTGAATAAACCATACGTGCATCAGAAACCTTATAAATAAGCTGCACTTTGAACTCTTTGCAGCAAGCATTTCCACAAGTTCATCCGAAGAACACGTACATCAACAGGAAACTGAAACACAGTTGCTTGCTAAATTGTGCAGTAATGGCCTTTTCCAAGATCTTCTTCACCACTGCTGTTGTTGCTGTCTCTGTAATTCATTCAAGTTTGGCCACTGAGTTTTTGGTTGGGGATAAGAGTGGATGGACCCTTGACTTTGATTACCAAGGTTGGGCAGCAGGAAAGGAATTTCGAGTTGGAGATCAACTTGGTAAACAAATTTAAGTGTAACCTTGCAATTATTTCTCAATTCAGATGGTTTAAATATTATTTCAATTATGTGACTACCAATAAACTAAACGATTTTCTTGGTGCAGTTTTCAAGTATGCTTCGGGAGTTCACAATGTGCTCAGAGTTAATGGTACTGAATTCCAACAATGTGAAGCAGCAGACAATACTGTTCCCCTTACAACTGGAAATGATGTGATTACACTTGCCACCCCAGGAAGAAAATGGTACATTTGCGGTGTAGCCAGGCACTGCGCAGCCAGGAGCATGAAGCTTAACATAACTGTGCTTGCTCAAGGAGACTCTCCTGCTTCTGCTCCCACTCCCAGTTCACCAACACCTGCTGCTGCGAGAGGAAATGCTGCATCTAGCTTTTATGGATGGATCGTGGTCATGGTTAGCTTTGTTGGGATGGTCCTTGTTTAACGTTGCAATGATGTTCTAGATTAATTCCTGGCGCTTAAACTGTTTCGAATGTTGGATTCTTGAGTTTGCTATTTTTTCAATTTGTTATCAGTTTGTGAGAATTGGTTTGTCAGAATTGTATTAAGTCATTATCTTCTTCCATCAATAGACCTTTACTATTTCTTCCAGCTTCCAACTCTTAATTTACATATAAAAATGTTTATTCTTCAGTGATTCTCTGGCTAGTTCTTTAGAGGACAACGTTAAACCAAAGCTTTCTCAGGAACTAAATACCACTGGATTACACTTCAGACGGAGGTTGCTCAGGCATTCCTCATTTCTCATTAAGCCAAAAGCGGAGACCAGTCTTTCTTTTAAATATGATGATATTTTCTTGGGCTTCTTAAGCAGAGAAAATTGTGAACGCCTTGTACAAAAAGATTCAATGAAAACGCAGCCCAACCCACATATTTTTTAAACTGATGTGCATGTCGAGAGTTTGTGATAGTTCAGCCCATGTTGAAGGTTAAGGACAAGGCGAGATCAATGGAACATGCCTTTGACAATGAATTATCACCAATTTAAGAGGACACCAAACATGGAAAGGGAGTCGCCATCGCCAATTCTACTGACTGACATGAGATATGCAGTTAATTCCTCAAATCAGCACCTCAGGTATACCTCATGATTTTGTCAAATCTAGCTATGATCATAAACTTAGACAAGTTCAGCAATTTAAATATTGGACGAAGTCTCAATTATTTAAAACTGTGATTATGACAGATGAAAATGGAATCCCATTTTTAGAACAAAGTATAAACCCACGAGAAAATTCCAGAGTGCTGCAGTAACACGTTAAGGACGCCCCGAAAGCTTCAATTTAAATATGGCTAGAAATTTTGCACGCACCGAATCGACTCAGCCGGCCTGGTTGCTAAACATGGAAAATGCATTGTCTTTTTTGACCTTTTTGGTCCAACATTTGTCAAACTGCATTTACTCACAAGCATCAAAACCCTCTACCCTCCATCCAAACAAAATTATAGGACCTAACGTCATGATTTTATCAGAGTCATGGAGAAGTGACTGGAACTGTTCAGGACAGTTAGTCACATGCTCTGCAGTCTGGAAAAGGAGCCCACAATGTTTCACGGAGTGGGTGCAACCGACTCTTTTACAATACGTGTTGCACCTGCTGCAACCGAGGCTTCTTCAACAACCAGTAGTGACGTAAACGTGATCACCCTTACAACACCAGAATACGAAAATTTGCGGTGCTGACAGACTTCTGAAAGTGCGGGTACCAGAAGCTAGCAATTGCTTGGTTGGTCTCCTCATTTGAAGCTTTTGGTATACATAAAAAGCACTATGGCTAGGTGAAAGTTGAACCAAGGTCCAAGGATTTTTGCACCCCGCCTCCCCACCACAATTCGTCTGAATAAATCAAATGGCTGAGATCACCAACATTTTTATTTAGTCTCCGAGATAGACAGGTTATTCAGAGTTTAACCCAGACAGCAGCCGCAAACCAATGCCTAATGGAGTATAATTGCAGCATTTGGCCTTTTCATTTTTTCTTATGAATAGTTGATTAAAAGCAACGTCATATTTGCATGTACTTGGCTTGCAAGTCGTCAGCATTTTATTGTATTTTATGCAAAGCCTTGGATCATACGGAACGGGGACGAAGAAATCCATGTAACAACCCCAATTAGAGTCTTTTATTTAATAAGAATTGTTTTTTGAATGCCATTTTATTTTTTCCCTTCTTTTAAAATAATGCTTAAGGGTCTAATTGGCTCGTTAATGCCATTTTTTTCCCTTTTTTATTGATAATGCTTAAGGGTCTAATTGTCTGACATTAGATGACAAACGTCAGCTAATTAGCCTCTTAAGAGCATACTAAAAATAATATGTATATGATTGCAAGGCAGAGCCCTGTGTTGTTGGAATTGCCTTGTCCAAAGCTTCAACAGATACCCAACTTGACCGAAACAAGCCATATGTTGCACATACTAGAGCAGTTGAACTCATATTTTCTAACTCTTGCCTTTCAACCAACACAGTAAATTTAAAGCTAGCAACCACGAGAATAATGTTCCAACCACCACCAAAAGTTATGAGCAATCCTATGTCGTCCTTGCCTGATGCAACTTGCTGATTGGAAAATCCCAATCAAGCCAACACAGCAATGGGATATCTGTAAAACTTAGACCGCTATACAGATACGTGGCAAGCTACACCGAGGCAGCGGAACAGATGCCTCAGTCCTAAACAGGACAGGGAAAACGTTGCCTTCAGGGCTATTTCGTCGTTCTCAAGCTGAAGCAGATGAACACGCATCTGGTTCATATTTTTTATGATTGTCAGCTGATCAACCATTCAGACATTCACAGCCCCATTCCACGGAGTTTCCTAAATAAGACAGGGACTGCTGAATGGATTGACGTTGATTTGCCTTTCAAAATGTTCGGCTAGTAATACAGCGAAGGGGATAGCTGTATCACTCAGACTTACCAGCCAACAACAGATAAACCGAAAATTTTCAGCATGTTGTTATAAAAGCTCACATTCACATCAAAGTCAGAAGGCTCCTTAATTATTTCACAACGGAAAGGCATCCACATGGTAAAGAACAATAGGACTACTCCGATTTCCGGGCATTAGAAGTATAGGAGTTATGTCTACGGTTATTTCGTTCTTTTTCCCATGCAACTTCAAGAGTATAAGCTGAAGAACTAAATTGTGCCACTAATAATATAACAGTGTGCTAATACCTCCAAAAGTTCATTCCTTAATTAGACCTTTATTGAACAAGAACTCTCTAATTGCCATATGCCAGATTGCCAGTTGATAGAACATATAAATTCATGACATAGAAGAAGTACTTGTGCAGAAGATAAAACCAGGATTTCAGCATCGTGCATTCTTTAACAGGTCAGCAAAAAGCTGCATTTTACTCGCTTGCTGCTAGTTGCCTGGAAGGGAAATATGGAATCTCGCCAAACCTTTAACACTGGAGCGGTTGTTAAAAAGATTCCAAAGTTCTTCACACTTTTATTGAAAGTAGTAACAAAAGTGAATGGTCAATGACCTCAAGCTTATCAAGAAATAGGCCCTAGGCAGATTTCATCATTCATCAATTTGATTTGAAGTTATCCCTTTTGTTTTCAACATCATATTCAATACGGAAAATGAAAAGCTTGATGAGAAATAAATGTGAGCAATTGACAAATTAACATTGGACGGAAAAAATCCACATTGTGGATCACAAGATGAACTTTCAAATGGTATATTGAAGAAAATTCTATTCAGATTCTCAGGACACCTGGAAAATGCACCAAAATTTCATTCTCAGGCAGTTGCATCATAGAAAAACATGTTTTCTTCTAAAAGCCCAATTCAAAGGATTAATTCCAAAAACAGAATACCAAAAAATGGAATTCTTTCAAACCAAAAAACAGGACCAAAGAATGTCAACCATGCATATATTTAAGGTGCAAAACAATAGCAAATTTCATGAACAGAAGACTAAAGTCAAGAATGCAAAAGCAGGAGATATATCTAACATATAGAAGCGGGAGAACTTTTTCTCCCAACTAGAGCACAGAGAAATGAATATTTGAATTGAGTCTTCTAGCTGTCCGTAAAGCAGCAAAACAATATATAAGATTACAAGCAGGGGAAAAGTGAAAGAGAGAATTTTATTCTCTTAAACCACCCCAATAACAAAAGAAAAAAGAGCATCTGACCCTTTTCCTTTTCATTTTCCTCCATCGTCCTATACAATCCAATCACAATTTTCTTTAATCCAAATTCTCTTCTTTGATTCTTTCCCTCCATTTAAATCTAATCAAAAATAAAAAGCAAGAAATTATAGCGAAAAATTAAAAAAAAAAAAGAAGAGCCGCACCCGTGTTTGTGGCAATCAAAATGAATCCCATCCTTTCTTTTGAACTTATTCTCAGTGTGTTGTGACTTTAGATCTCTTCTTTGCCTCACTGTAAAGCACAACTCCCATAACCGTAACAGCGAATCCAGTCATCCCCATCACGGTCACCGGATTCCTGAAGATCATAACCGACACAAACGCTGCCACTGCAGCTTTAGCATTGCCCAAAACCTGCAAGGTAAGGGCACTGGTATGCTTGGTAACCAAAAAATTTGTCAAATTCACCAAATAAGCCACCGTAGCATTCCCTAGCAACAAGAAAATAATAAAAGAATCACTCCTAGCTTTCTCGAGTGTGACTCGTGCAACATTCCCTTCAATATATAGGGTAAATGGTAACAAAATCATTGCTGCCATGGGCGCCATATACAACAACAAGTTCATGGAATGTAGCTTCTCAGCTTCACTAGTTAACAAGATCCCTTGAACCACTGATTTCAAAGCACGACCAGCAGTAGAACCAATGCAAACCAAGAAGCCAAACAGGTTAAACAAAGGCTCACTATTGCTAGCCAAAACGATCCCAAAAACCACAGGCAAAAGCGCAAAATAAACCTCAGCAGATTCCTTCCTGCAAGTGATTAAGAAAGCGAAAATGGCAGTGAAAAAAGGGGTCGTCGCACCAATAGCTTGGTTAAACGACACCGGAATGTACCTTAACGAAGTGTTGCCACACACCACAGAGAAACAAAAAATACCACTCAAAGCAAAGATCTTGAAAAACTGCTTCCTTGACAAAATGTGTTGCCTTGGAACTATTTCAAGGAAGTTAATCGCGACGTAACTGTAACAAGCACATGAGATCATGTGAAGCATAGTGAGAAAGATTGGATAACGGTAGCCATAAAAGCTGAGCAGATACTTGTTAAGCAAAAGGACCCCAATGTTGGACATGAACCATGAAGCAATGATCAGGGCAGTTAAAATGGTAGGAGAGAGATGGGATCCAACGCTGTAGAAGCTGTTTCTATCATCACCAGTTGGGGTAGCCGGAATGTCCAACACCTGGTGGTCGGCGGTGGCGGTTGAGTCCAATCTTGGGTTGCTCATCCTCCTTGTCGTCCATGTTTGCGCTTCCACCATTTGGGTTTTTTGGGATGACAGTGAAGATAGTAACTTTGAGCTCAGACTCAACCTTTTTTTTTTTTTCCCCCCTAGGTTTTCTCCTCTCTCCCCAAGAATCAGGACATGAGAAACAGAGAGAGAAAGAAAGAGTTTTTTTTTTCTCTTTTTTCTTTCGTTGTGTTTGTGAGGCTGGTTAGATCTGGAGGAGTGAGCAGAGGAGGATATGATCAGCGAGATGATCTGATCAAAGGGTGGAGATTTAGATTTGGGAAAATGGAGAAATGGGAATCGTCGGATTGCAAGAAAGGGCAACTGATGGAATACAAAAAAACATGAAAGTATTAATTAGATTTCCTGGTAAAAGGAGCTTAAATGTTTGGGCAGTGTCGGTAATGGATTCGCTAGCAAGACTCTGGTCTGAATCTGACCAAATTTCCCTTTTTAATTTTTATTTTTATATTATTCACTACTACAATTTATCACTAGTATTTCAGTTTTACTTTTACAGTGTGACGAGTTTATTACCGTGTGTCTTTTACGGTAAAGTGACAAAATGTACAACGTATGTGAAGATGTTACACGTGTGATTTTTGGCTTCCCTATAATTTTTGATCCATGGTTTTACCTTGCGAAGTAAATTAAGGCTACCGTGTCAATAACAAAACAAGGGACAATAACATTACAAAGAATATAAAATTTTTTATTTCATTAATGACATTATAAAGAAACTCGTAACTTAGTATTATATAAAGTCAATAAATATAAATTGATGAATTATTGGTATATAATATTAGCACCAAGTATGTAATTTTTAATTAGATTGATTATAATATTGGTTAGGATTATTAAAAGGCCAATGATGGTAAGAGCATTTGATGTAAACCGCATTTTAAGATCATTGGGGTAAATATATATATATATATATATATAAGTACTTTAGGAATCAGAGCAGGCAAAATTAGATTTTTGGGTTACCTGAAAATCTATAACTCTTTTTATATATTTGAGATTTTTTATTTTTTAAAATTAATTATTTTATATAAATATGGATAAATTTCACGTTCATTTATTGGAATTTCAATTTCTCATATGATATTTTATTATTTTTTCACAATTAGCACATAATTAATATATTTTTTTCTCAAATAGTAGTTTAGGGATAACTTTTGTTTTTATAGAGATTAAACTATTGTTTTACTTAATAAAATTACTCAAATAACCTCAATTCAAACTTAACTTATTTATCCACATTTAAAGATGTTTTTGTAATTTTATTAAACAAACTTAAGAGCCTAATATTTTCTAGTGACAGAACTAGTAAAATTATCATAAAATGTTAATTGAGAAAAATATATCTAAAATGTGATAATTGAAAAAGGAATCACATAATATTATTTGAGAAAAATTAAAATCACAAAAAATGTTACTTTATAAATAAATAATGTCTTTGTAAAGTGGTGGTTATCTTACTAAGAAAATAAAATGGGCAATTCACCTCTATTTTGATGCTTAATTATGATTTGGAAAATAAAGGTTTTGAAATTTTTTAGTAACTAATAAAAGTGATTATTATCACATTATCATAAGTATGACTAGCCACTAGGGATGATAGATCATTTTCTCGTAACTATGTTATTTGAGCAACTTAAACAACAAGCAACTTAGCGCGTGCATAATAGCAAGGGTGGAATCAACTAATTTTTATTAGCAAGGTTAAAGATGAAGAAAAATAAAAGTTAAAAATTTTTAAAATTAATATGTTAAACTTTAAAAAAAAATTATAATAAATAATAATTTTATATAACAAGTAAATAAAAAAGAATAAAAAAGAAAAGTTTATAATAATCTTTGAAGGAAAGTTATATTTGACGATATTTTTTGAATTTTAATTCATCAATTATTAAGTCTATATTGAAAAAACTAATAACATATTTTTCAATATAAACAACTAAATTATTTACAAGAAGCTTATAATCCATTTTGTTCTAAAGTCTTATTTTCATAATTTTTATTATTGAAAAAATACACTTTATTGTTATTGTAGAAACTGAAACTATTAAAAGAAGATGAATTAATCTATCAAGCAAGATTAATAAAAAATTATATATCGATGAAATTTTAAATAACAATTAACAGTGCAATATAAGAACTTATATTTAAAAATTATATAATAATTGTTTAATTTTTAAATATTAAAATTATAAGAAATAAAATTCACATAACAGAAAAAAGAAAAACATGATAAGTAAAAGATATAACATACGTAATAAAAAAAAGAGAAAAAGAACATGTTTGATGGTTTGTATAAATTTAGAAAAGAAAGTTTATAAAAACTATGAATATATGAGTAAATAGAATAAAAATAAAAAAAATAAATGATAATAATAGAAAAAAAATATAATAAATAAAAAAATTATTTTGAAGAACAAACAAAATAAAAAAGATATAAAAAATAAAAATTATAAAAATTTTGCTTACGTTGTTCCGCCCCTGCGCATCGTATAAAAACTTCAGCTAAAGACAATTAAGCAGCCTAAAGCAACTTTCATAACTTCTCATAGTCTACGTAAGTACAAAAAAAGAAAAGGAACAAAGAAAAAACGTAGGTGTTGATGAATAGTCCATGTGCGTCGGCTGATATAAGGCAAGGCCCATGCTTTAGCCGAAGGGTCTAATCATAAGATTGACGTTAAACCTTTACGTCCGAGCATTTTAATGGGGCAAATCATTCTTGCTCTTTATCCTTCCAGGCATATGTTGAAATTCTACTATTCCATTTAAAGGTTGCTTTGAAAGCATATAAATAGTAATAAATATAGACCTTTTTTCATAAAAATTTGTTTATTTTAAAACTTGGTAAAACAAATAGCGAAGTAATTAGGTCATAGAGGGCATTAATTAATAAAATAAATAATCAAGAAAACAAACAGAAAAAGCCCTATGTTGGATTTGGATGTGTTGGGCTTTGTTTGGTATCAGGAATAAATGTTGAATTTGGGAGCCCAAACTGTAGCATTTGGATGCAAAACTTTTTCATTTTGGGTACCATTTTCTTGGACACTGAAACTTTAAGGTTCCTGCCCGCAATCCTTCGGTTATCCTTCTGTCATTATTGCTGTATTATGCACTGAAAAGTAAGAAAGAAAGTCTGAGATTGAGAAGATGAAAACGTAGACACTAGATGTAGAAGACATAGGAGTTTGAAGCATTATAGTTTTGGACCCACTGTAAATCTGAACGCTACATATAGGCATACAACACTGCTGACTACCATACCCTTTATTCCAACTACAGAATTAGAAAAGGCCACAGCTGACCAAAAATGGGTGCAAGTGCCAAGATAACTATTGTCACGCTTCGAGGCCAGTTTAGATCAGATGATGGAGCGCATGCTTCTCACCCTTTTCACCAAGCAACCCAACAAACACCATTAATGTCTCTCACGTTTGAAACATTACATCAAAACAAAATCAAAGTCTCTACACCTTCCTAAGGCTTGAGCTACTAATTAACGAAGTCTACCAAAATCTGTCATCTTTAAATCCTGCAATCGTCCACAAGTCTTGATACTGTAGAGAAGGTTCAGCTTTTGGATTTAATTACCCCCTCACAGAACACTCTTTGGAGAGAAACCGATGAAGCTAGAAGAGAGATGGGTGCCACTACTGCTACTGCTATCCACTTGGAGAGATATGGAGAGGTTGGTATCAGCATTAGTACGGCTACTTCTGATACTTGAAGTAGTAGCTTGAGAAGCTTCCACAAGCTTTCTTGAACGCTGCCGCCCTCTGTGCATGTGCCTCTCACAGTACTTGTGATCTGGGACTGCTTCTTTGCTACACCTCCATTTCTTCCCATCTGTTCTTCTACATCTTCCGGGCTCTGGATCCAGCCCATTCTTATACTCCAACTGCAAGGGTCCGCAACCCAAAACTGGACCAAGACCAAAGGAAAAAAAAAAAGAAAAGAAAACTTCTTTATTAATTCTGACCAGTTAACCCAGAATATATAGAAAACTGTAGGAGTAGAAAATTTTGTAGGGAGCTGATTTTGGGTACTTACAGCCAGAATAGAGTTGATAAGGATTGCCATGGAGGCCACCAACAGAACCAGCAAAACTTTTCCATATAGGCAGAAGAAGATGGTGGGGCACAGGAAGTCCAGCTTCCATGTACTTGTAGATGAGAGATTGAAGCTGTAGTTCCTGCAGCTGAAAAACTGTGAACCCACATGATTTGCTGAACCCAGTTGGTCTATGACCAGACCCACATCCAAGCTCAAGACCTAGCCCAAGTGGAGGTGACCCTTCTCCTCCACTCAACCTATTACTCTCCATGTTCCAAGAATCACCCAAATTTGTAAGCCCAATCCCTGAAAAAAAAAAAAACTAATTAACACATGATAGCCAAAATATTTAAGAAATGGAGTAATTTGTGCCTGAGAATGAGAGAGAAAAAGAAAGGTTACCAAAGTCTGCAAAACGGGCAATCTTGAGAGGTGAGTCTTGGGGCTCCATCTCTTGCGTATAGGCATAAATCCGAGAAAAATGAAGGGTCAAAGAACAGAAGAGAACAGGTGCAGTATGGCCTGCAACATACACTGAATTAACAGTAAAGGTTAAAGATAAATCCTCTCTGAAAGCTGCAGCAGTAAGAATAGATTTTTCAAGTCAGAAAATTTTAGTTCATGGCAGAGGAAATGGGATGGATGGGATGGGCTAATGGGTATCTTCTTAAAAGTGTTTCTGTGACAAATAAAAAAATAAGCCGTTGTTTATAAAAAAGACAAATGCAGCAATGACACCAAGCACGCCCCAGTTGTCTGTCTATGAATCCTTGTTCCTATCCAACAAAGAGAGAGATAGAAGACATTAAAGTGAGACTGAAAGTCTTCTGACATGTCAGGAAACTCCGCAGGTGTTTGCAGAAACAAACGCGTTTGTCAGGCCATGAGCCATGACAGAAGAACCTGGGACCCGCAATAGGACAAGGAGGACAGCCTTTTGGCTTCCTCTTCCTACCACTTACGAACAACAGTTTCATCATAACCAGATACCTATCAGAACGCGTGAGCAACACCTTAAATTTTGAAATGATTCACTCCGCACTGGCAGTCTTGCACATGAACTGGGGAAAGTGCCCGGAAAAAGAGTGATGTCATGGATTTGGTCAATTAGTTACCGTTTCACTTGGTTACCTCGGTTGCTTTTTAACCCATGTCTCGTAGACATAGAAGCCAGCCAGATACAACGAATTGTACCCTTCAAATTTTCTGATTTGCTTGCAATGCTGCATTATTGATTTTTCAGTGTTTGTTTAGCAAGCAACAATAGGTACGAATTGATACTATCATCAACCAAATATAAAGACATGTATTTGTACTTAACTTGTACTTTCAATCGTAGCTTGCTACAGCTGTGGCAGCTGGTCATTGCTTTCATTTGATCAATGACCATTATTTTCAGTTTTGAGTGTCCAGCCACTTAAGAAAAGTATTATTACTATATGGCTAAGAAACACCACTAAAAATGGCGTCGCCCGGACTCGAACCGGAGACCTTCAGTGTGTTAGACTGACGTGATAACCAACTACACCACGACACCCTCAGTGTCTGAGTCATTTAACCTTTAATATTTGACAAAAATGGAAAGCAACTTTAGTTTGCTCACTCCCGGACAGCTACAACGAGACAGGAAGTAAAACGTTAAGTTTAGAATTCTCAAGTATATTCCTTTTGGCTAAGTGGAAGATGCACAACCATAAGCAATGGCGGTGACAGGTGACCCACAAATTTCGTCAGTTTTTGTTTTGATTCTTATGATGAATTACTGCTAAAACGTCTGCTGGACGTGGCATTCTTCGCAAATTTCAAGCAATTTTGAAGGAATTGGATACAACGTTGGTTCTTTTGCATGGGGCAGACTGCAGAAGGTTAACTGGACTTTTTTTCTTCATGAAATTTTGAAGTGCAACATTTGGCCTATGTTCCTTTCCTTTTGCAGATATTCTTTGCAATATGTAGCTGATTAGTTCCATTGTTTTTATACAAAAATTTGCTTGCCAATTTTTACGTTTATATTCCGTCCTTGCTTAATTTACACGTATAGAAAAACTTAAGACTATTCTGAATGCTTGTTGGTCCTTCTTTTAGGTGTTTGATATATTTGAGGACTTGAGATCTAAGAGCTATTTCCCACGGCGCTATTAAAACAAAAGCTTGTGCTATTATATCATATGTGGATGAACTTCTAAAACCTTAGAATTTGGGAATTCTGTAGACTTTATTAATTGCAGAAGATGGGCATGCAACGAGAAATTCTAAATATAATCCTCCTTGCATATTTACTGATTGCAGGGAAAAAGTCATTGAGTTTTTTGGTGAGTAGGGCAATTGCTTATAATGTCATTCTTTTTTTCTTTTATTATGAAAGATACTTATAATGACATTCTTATTTCCCCTTTTTTCATTGTAATACTACGGAGTGTACAAGGCTTTGCAATTATTGCTCAAACTATAGAGCATGATCTAGGGTCTTGATTTTGTATCAGGGACCTTTTATTTCTCTGGGGATTATCATGCAGTATCAGGCTGTGAGAGAGCGACCGTAGAGCAGCATGTTCTCTGTTACAACTACTGAGCTAATACACTTGCTGCCCCTATTTGAGGTTGAAGGATTCGGTATTGATTTTGCCTTCTCTCGTGAAAATGAACAAATTGGTAGAGGTTGGAACTATGGTATATGTCTCAAAATGGGAAAGTTTATCACTTCTGAATCGCTTTCTTGTTTTGTTGATCTTGCAATTGGAATGCATTCCGATCCACTCCTTTAAAAGAGCCAACAGGTTCAGCTATTTGGAAACCATATTGCTTCATGATCCATATATTAGCTGGAAATAGAACTCAAGCGTGCATTCATGAATAGTCTATTTGTGGAAGATGACTACCTTTCTAGCAACGTGATTGAGCTTGATGCTCTACAATGCAGTGATGTTTTAGATATACTTTCTGAATATCAGTGAAGTACAATACGAAGATTTTTCAAATTGATATTCTATATTTGCTTTTGGTTTTGGTTAGTACCTTATCATTTATTCCCACTATTTTCTACTTTTTCTGCTATCATTAGTCAGCAAACTTTCTCTTAAAGGCATAAAAACTTTTAAGATCTGCATGTTTATCTTCCTATTGATTAAGTTGTCATCCTTGCGTTATTGTTTCTCAAGCTTTAAAAGGCTTGACAGATTATTTTTGAAGTTGAATCTTGCCACTTTATCACTCGAACTGAACGTTTATAAGAGTCAGCCAGTGTGTTGATAGGAATTTGATTTGTATGCCCAAATGGTTTTAGATTAAAGGCTTCAGTAATCTCCTCCTTAGCAAAGGCATCTGCTGGGTTTGTAGCACTGAATCTTTACTTTTGAGGCAGTGTACCCTGAAATTACTAGGATCTCATCTGAAAAGCATGTCCCAGGACCCCTTTTGCTGCTGCGACTGATACAAATTCAACCATGTCAGCAGTCATAAGTCAACTTTGTATAAGGTTATGGTATTTGATATCCTTTATAATTTTGATATGCGTTATGTTAATTTAATTTGTGTTTATTGTTGATATTTATTCCGATAAAAATGAGTTATTAGTTGGTTTGCATAAAAACGTCTACATAAGCGTCGCATGAATTATCTTATATTTAAAAAAAAAAAATGTAGTTCGTGATAATTGGTATTAGAACAGATTCTAAGTATCAACGATGTGTCACTAAAAATAGTGGGTTCTTGTTGAACTGTGAGAGGATGTCACGGTTTTAGTATAGACGTGAATCCCATGTCATCGAGATAATGCTCTTTGCAAGTAGAACCACAAAGTCCCATATTAAAAAAAAAAAACTCCAAACGGAAAATAAGAGAAGATATTATGATTTTAGAGAGAGGAGTCATGAATCACACATCGACTATATATTAGAGTGATTTGAAAATATAAAAAATCTTACCACCTTCAATCTGAGTCGTGTTTTGTTTAATAAAATCACAAATAAGAAGTTGATATGGATCATGAGATTAAAGACTTATATTTATTTAAGATCAACTTTAAAGTTTTTTTAATCCAAGAAAAAGATGCTTGGCCCAGCCAGATCCATTAAAAAGATTTTGACATAAACGAAGACAAAGGTGTTTCTAATTGTTTAGACATTAGATTTCAGAAGCATCCAATTTAATATTGTGTAATAGTTGTACTTTAGCTGTTTAACCTTAAGTTCTGGTCAGCTCCTTAAAAATTGGAGATGATGAGGACTTTAACAATACCAAAAAGTCTTCAATGTCTAATAATTTCATTTTCACGCAACAAATCTTTTTTTTTTAATGTTTTATTCTGATAGCGAAAAGGACTAATGGAGATTTGGAAACAGATTATAGCATAAATTATTCCAGAGCACAACTGAGGATAAGATATTAAAAGGATTTGTTAACATGGCCGATCGTTTGCTCAGTCGATTTTTCTTTTTAAATGGTTAGAAAAAAATAATTATAATTTTATATATATAATAGTTTAATATATTTTATATATACATATATTTAATTTATACAAAATAATTACTATAGTTTATAATAAATTTTATTTATATGATTACTCTTAATAATTTTATTAGTTATTATTTTAATTTTTATACCATATAGTTTATAATTATTTATTATTTATACAAATTTTGATATAAAATATTATAAAATATAAGTTGTGTTATTAATTTCACATATATATAATAAAATAATACATATAAATATATACTATTTAAAATTAACATATTGCTTATACTAATTAATATTTTATAAAATAATAACTTCAGTTAATAATTAATAAATAATATATTATAAATCAAGAACAAAATAATATCAATTTTATTTACAATTTGATAGTATTAAATATATTATATTTTATATTAATGTCTAATATATTATGAATATATAAAGATATTATTATTAATAACTATTCATTATAAACTAAAGTTTAATATAAATATATTAAAGTTTATTATTATTAATAATTATTCATTTATTAATAAAATATAAAATATTTAAACTTTTGTTGATGTAAAGACTCAATGATCTTGTGGTAGTTTTATTTTGTGGATGTTAATTTTATTATCTTTGATTTTTTATTATGTTGAATCTTAAATGTTAATTTGATAATTTATGTGAAAAAACATAATTCTGTGAGTGAAGGAACAAATGTATATTTTTTTATGTTTAAATTATTTGTATATTTTATAATTATGAATAAAATTTACAAATTTTAATATTATAATTTACAAAAATAAAATAAAATTTTAATTTATTAATCTAAAATCGAATCAATTTAATCAATTTTATATTTAGTTGATTTAATTTTTTTTATATTTAATAAATTTTTAAAAATATTTAATTTATTTAATTTTAAATATGATAAATCAAACCACTACATTTGCTTAGCCTGTACCAGTCCACCATAACCCATAGAAAGACTTAATTTTCTATCTTTATAATTTTGGCCACATCTTTGACAATCTTTTGGGGCTTCCTAATTTTGCCACGTTTCCTAGCCTTGAAGAAAGGGTGTGGCAAGGAAAACTCAAACTGCAGGAGACAACGGTGGTGGCTAGGCTTTTTTTAGAAAGAGAGGAAATCGGTGGCAGAAGGAAGGGGAAGAGAAGAAAAGAGGAAACGGAAAGAAAGAGGAAGTCTGCCAGAAAGGCTTAGGCCGGCGAGGGTGATGGGGCTGGCGACCGAGTAAGGGACAGAGGGCTTAGAGAAATGGGTTCGCCACCGCAGGTAATGGAACAGAGTAAAAATG